GCTCCAATCTATCTAGATGCGTCTGCAAGGCCTCCTGTCTCTCAAGAGGTTCAACAACACCTCCCAGTTTGGTATCATCAGCAAACTTGCTAATGATGCATTCAACTCCTGCTTCCAGATCATTGATAAATATGTTGAACATCACTGGCCCTAGAATTGAACCCTAAGGAACACCGCTGGTGACTGGTCACCAGCCAGATGTGGCAAGGTGCTGATGCCTCACCCTTTGTCTTTCTACTGTCCTGGGACATGCATTTCCTCTCTGAGAAAACCCAACATTCACAGAGCATTTTCTACAACTCAAAGAGCACATAGAACCCACAGTCAGTAGAGATAGGATATTAATTCAGAAAATCACACTGCTTTCCTTTCTAGCCTACCTGTAGAGGGCAGATGCAGGAACAATCTACAGCTGTGAGATTTTTGAGGCTGAGAGCTTGTAATGAGCAAGGTGCAGGTCCCTGCTCTTGGTGCTTAGTCTGCTACATAGCAAGGTGAGAGGCTTTGGCACCATATTGCACCTGCTTGCCCCTCTCTGCTGAGATTTTTTACAGAGGAACCAGCTCTTATTCCTGAACAATGTGATTTCCCATTTGAAAAAAATAAAAAATAAATAAAAAGAAGGCAAGAGTTAGATGGCTGCAGTGACGCAGTTGTTACAAATCCTTGTGCTGTTTATACTCAGGCAGTTGAGTAAAGGTCATTTGTTGGTGTAACAATGAGAATCTGTTAAGAACATTAGAGCAACAGCAAAATATGAAAACTCGACTAATAACAGGATGTTGCTAGTTAGAAATTTTTCACAAGGCAGCATTTTCCTCTTTACATGATCTGTTTTTCTAAATAGCTTCAAACAATGCACGTGTTAATACTTTCAGGATAGATCGCCAAGAATGTAAAGCATTCAAAGAACTGGTTTTGAGAGAGAGAGAATTTGCAAGAGAGAGAATTTCTCATCTCTTTAATACACCCTGCACTTGCACCATCTCTTCATGATTAATAATGTCATCACCTCTGCAGACTTGTGAGAGTGCTCATCCTGTGAAAGGGAACATAACTGAAATGGTGCAAGTAGCGTATGAGTTTGGCATCAGAGAAAGAGACCTAGTAACTGAATCCCTTGTGTCAGGGTACCAGCTTCTGTTCCAGATAGGCAGCTGGCTCATTTGGTACTATTGGGTAAGCTGCTTACCTTCCATGGCATCGATAGTCAACATGACAGTCATGGACTAGGATGACCAGGATCCTAAAAATGTACTCTCTCCCTTCTAAATTTCCCCACTAATCTTTTATTAGGAAGTTAGTCAGAAATATTTAAAATTAGCTTGCAAAGTAAAGCAGTGAAAACTCAAAATGGATTCTCCTCTTTTCCCTAAAGGACATCCAGCAGGATGTAAGGCACCTACAACAGAGAACAGAAATGTTGAGCTGACATGAAAGAACAAGGTTAAGACAGTCAAAACAAATATTCACTCCAAGCTGCTGGCTCTTAAAACACAGACACAAATCAGAGGGAACTCTTCTGCCAAGTCAAGCAACTGCAGAATAGGCACACAATATGATTTGCAAAATCTGGCATTATACAGATTTATGGAAGAAAAAACAAAAGAAATTAAAGAAAACCCTGCAGTCAAAGAGAGTGGTATTCTTATCCCTAAACTTGCTCTCCTTTTGCATGCTGACCAACTGGGACAAGTTACAGATTTCTCAAATGCCAAGTTAAAATATCTGTGATGTTGAAAATATTTATTTTATTTTTGAGCCTTTAAGGCTTTTCTCATCTCAGTTTCTGACATGAGAGAGATGAATGGAATACTTGAAAAAAGCTTGAGATACTGCCAAGCAGGCCAATTCAGCACCAGCAGGAAAGTTTCCTAACATTTAACATGCAAGAAAACAACACACAAAAGAGATTTTTTAAAAATCAGTCTGTTGTAATCACATACAAATCAGAACATTTGTAAAACAGACTAATCAAAAGATTTAAGATAGCATATTTTTCTAGTAAATTTCTGTGAATCAACATTTTACCTACTATAGCAGAAAGTTTTATGAGGGTAGGTATCTTCAGGAAAGCAAAAAATTGAGTTAGTAGTTAGAGGAAAAGAATTTGAAAGAATAAAGTGGTTTTGCATTTGGAACCTGAAAAAAAAGCAGATTCCTAAAGATACATTAAAAGAGAAATGAACAATTTAACCAATTTAAGCATATGAAAAGTATGAATTTACAGACATAGAACATGATAGAATCAATGAAGTGAAATAGTTTTAATTAAACTGGAAAAAAAATTGTACACCTCATATGGTAAAATTGTTTAAGAGCTTTAGATAAAAAAATGTTATAAACACATCATCATAGAGATAAATTTTAAAACATCATGTAAAGCACGAATACAAGAAAGCTCAAACTTTATCTCTTACCTCAACAAAGCAATAGAATGTATTTGCAATGAAAATTTATAGTTCCTCAATAAAGTCAGAAGAAAGGGTCCTCCCTAGTCTATTACATTGCCTTGTACAAGAACAGAAAAGCAGTTGCCTCTTCTTCATTTGTTTTTAGAGGTTTTGTGGGTCATGATTTCAACTCCAGCAATCATAAAGGCTAGAGATGGTCCCGCTATCATCACTTCCCACCTATAAAGCCAATGATGATTTCTTTATAGCTGACGGACGAAGATAAAATAACAACAGGTCATATCATTTACTTTCTGCTCCTACTAGTAGAACGAGCAGCAGAGGATTCTGGCAGAGCTGTTAATGCTCATGTTTGAGCCCATGCCTTATCAAAGCTTCCAGATGTCACCGCTGCAGCCTGCTGGCATCCAGGTGCACTCCTGATACTCCAGCACTGTTTGACCATACCACTCCCAGCCAAGAACAAGATGACAATTCCATTTTCTTCAGTATTTCTCAAGTAACAAGTAGAGTTGAGAGCAAATCTTCAGCAACAGCATGTCAATGATGCTGTACCAGCCTATTCCAAAAGTCTGTTTGGGGATTGCTCAGTCACCTCTCATTTGGAGAGAAAATCCAAGGCAGGAGAGTGCACAAAGAAGGCACAGAGAAGAGCTATCCAGAAAAGCAACCATGCAGTAATGTCTCCTCATCCCTCACAAAGCTGCTACATATTGCCAGCTACAGCGCAGGCACAGATCTGGGGACCAGGGACATGCCGTAGGAGGCACAGCTGGGGAGCTGCATACCCCCTACTCAGAGAACAGAAATGACCCCTTTCCATGCATCTGCTTTTTGGAAAATAATAGGGAAATAAAGTGACATTATTTGCTTTTCTCAAGGAATTTTAATTCCCTTCTCTTCAACACCTCTGCAGGTTAAGTTAGTTGAAGAGGTGTGACCCATGCATCCCCTTCCCACCCGCCTGCCACAGCAGGGAAAGGAGAGGAGCCCAGGCATTCCAGCCCTGTGCACTTGCAGGCACAACACCCAAGCAAAGGCCAATTTGGCAAGACACATTGTGATCTTAGCTGCACCGAGCATTTCTATGAATATCTCTAGCTGGGTTTTTGTTGTTTCCCCTGTTTGAGACTCCAGTCCCATCCTGTTTGCTGACCTCTGGCACACACTGTAGGTGAATCCACCAAAACATAGGCTGTTCCAAAAACGAGTGGGTTTGTTTTGGTTGTTACATAGCAGTTTTCTGCAAAATACTTGTTTATTGTCGTTTCATATCTTTCTGCAATCTCTATGGGCTATTTTGGCCACATACACCAGCTATGTTGGAATTACAGGGACAACCACAGAATTGCAATTCAGAGGAAGAATAATAGAAGATGGTGGCTCTCCAGGTTTTATTGCTTTTTAATGTGAATTTATAATAAGCCTTCTGAGTTATTTGCTAATTCTCCAGGTAATATTATCAACTACATTATGTTTTTACTCTAAGAGTTAATTCAGTTTGAGCACTGATAATCTCTCTGCTTCAATTTTGTATAGAATGTCACAAATTCAACACAGAAGGCTATTTTTCAGTCTGAAGTGGAGGGAAAAATCTGTACAGATGCTGATACACACCCTGTGAATGTAGTGCCAGAGTTGAAAGCAACCCACTTCACACAGCATCTTGCAATACTGCTTACAGCATAACACTGATGTATTTGTCTCACCATCACTCCCTGCATCCTCTGTAGAGAGGGAAACAGAACACGAATTGCTCAGTTTGGCCCCCAAAACCACTTTTCACACATTTAAGAATAAGACCTTTTTAAAATCAGTGGACTGTACATAGCATTTATAGACAACAGATTATGCCCCCTATTCCAAAAGGGATTACTGAATGCTTTAGGTGGCCATTACTATAAAAATATTCCATATCAAAAGCCACCATATGGCTTTCTAGAAACCTTCTGCTCCATCACAGTGTGGTAGTCTGACATTTCATTGCTTTGTCTGTTTCCCAGTATGACATGCGCTACATCTAAGCAATTGCTTGTGTGTCGATTCATGTCTCCATTCAGCACTGTGCCCACTCTCCTGTATTTCCTCCTGCATTTAACAGTGTAGGATAGACATGTGTATGGCATTAGGAAACATATCTTTCATGGCACTACTTTGGATTTGCCTTCTGTTTGCTTGCTTGGACTTGCGGAATTTTTCTCAAGGAGGGTTTTGCACAAGCAGCTATGTTAAAATCTGTTCATACTGCTTCAGGACAGAGATACAATACTCAAGTGTGAGCTTTGGAGTGAGGATCACTGCATTAGGTAACAAGAGATTTTAATGGATGCCTTGAAGGCTCTAAAGCCAGACAAATGTAAAAGGTATATACTGAAATGGTATGTCTTCAACACAACCTGATGCCTTTCCCATTTCAAAACAGAAGATATTTGCAAGTTCTCTGGTTTAAGAGCATCAGTTCTTGGAAGGAGTGGGAACATACTGTACTTCCTTGCTTCTGTTTTCAATAAACACCGAACAACTGCAGAGGTAAAAGCAAACTGCTATGTCTGTTCATGAACACAATTGCTGTGTTTTCTGTTCCAGCTTGTCCTTGCCACATGGGAAGGAGGCTACAACTTGCAGTGCCAGAACCTCCACAGCGCTGGGGAGGCCGACATCCGGGTGAGAGACAGCAGCAGCTCAGCCCCCAGCATCCACAGCCCTTCCCTCTGTGTCCCTGGTGTAACACACTTCTGTGCTCACGGCAGTTATTGGTGACACCTTTAACATGAGGGTTTTAATCAGCTTGCCTAGCAACTGGTAGAAAACAAGAAATATTATCTTTTTGATTCAATACAGATGTATTCTTGAAGTGGAAAGTATGACAGGGACTGTTTTGAAAAGTCATATTTCAAGATCTGTGATCAAAAGAGTGTTGACTGACTATTAAAACAGAGAATACAGATCATTTAAAAACTTGGAACAAAAATCAGTCCTCTAAAATGTAACACTTGTTGGGCTGTAGCTGGCAATGGATTTAAGCCCGACTCTAAACTGGAAAGCTGCAGAGACATTTTGCTATCTTGACTCACCTCTACTTTCAACCCTTATTTCTGCAGCACAGCAATTCCATGTATTAACCCTCTGCCATTCCCCACATCAGGCTTACTTTCCAGATAAAGTTAGAGCTCAAGTGCAGAAAGATTGGTTAGATTATGTAATTTTCCTCAACCCTCAAAATTTGTCTGTGTTATGGCAAGGAAAAGGTCAGTTAAATACCTTTTCCCATCAACAAGGTGTTTTCCCCCCTTTCTATTTTAGCTATGTGTCTTTAACTGTCCTAGATCATACCCTGAGCTCTGATAAAGTGTCTCAACTCCAGAGGAGTGTCAAATTTGGGTTAAAAAGAAGCAGCTGCCAGCAATCCTGTTCCATGCCAAGAAAATATAAATAGTAGCACCTTTAAAAAAAAAAAAAACAACCCACACACACAACTGTATCTTTGAAGAAAAAAATAGAATAATTAGAAAACCCTTCCTCAAAATTTATATTTCTTAAATTATATTTAGATAGTTATATATTTATACTATCATAAAAAAAAAGTGTTTTTTCCAAACTGCCTCATTCAAAAGGAAAATAAAACTGAAGCCAGAACTTGTGCTCCTCCTTCAGTAGGATAGTAATGCCTTTTGGGATGTTGCATACCTAGGGACTGGTGAAGTACAGCAATATTTAAGCTCTTTTATGGACAGATATTGATCTCCTGCTCCTTTGTTCTTGCTTGTACAGGTAGCCAAGGTGCTGTGGTGGTATTATTTTTCCAAAGTAATTGAATTCATGGACACTATCTTCTTTGTACTGAGAAAGAAAAGCAGCCAGATCACCTTCCTTCATGTGTATCACCATGCCACTATGTTTAACATTTGGTGGTGTGTACTGAACTGGATACCTTGTGGGCAAAGTAAGTATCTGTCCGCTTCATCACCTGGGGTATAAGTCATCTGCTGCTGGAGGGGAATCACATCACCACGCAAAGCATGTGTGTCACTGGGCTATATGATAGAACCTTTAAGATTCATAGACTTTCAGAACTGCTGAGCACCTGCAGACCACAGTAAAATTAAAAGCATGGTTAAAAGTTTGGGGCAAAAAAATTATCTGTTAGGCCCTAGATTTCCTCTTACCTGTCTGTCATAACCTTTCATATTTACTTCTCTTCAAACCACTTTTAGACAGGATAACACTACTGAGTAGTAAACAACAGTTATGACATGCAAGACCTACTCCAAAGGCAGATATAGGAGGAAATCAAGACCCTAGTAAAGACAGTGTCCATCATGACAAATTAATTCAATAACATTTTTGCAAGTTTGACTCCTGTATGCATCAATCTGACTTTTTGCTTTAGCAAAATACTTTACTTACAGAATCACTAACTAAAATACCAGTTTGAATTTGGTTTGTTTTAAACGAGAATACATCTCATTCAGGTAGTAGAACTACTGGACAGCTAGAGCTGATCAATACAGTCTTACATTTCGTATCAAATCAAAATAGCAGCATCCTTTCCCTTATTATATTTTGGGTTCAGTATATTTCGCAACAGTAATGTCTAAATGACTTGGTTCTTAAGAAGAATATTGCAACTGTCATCATCTCCCCTGTTGAACTGGGGAAGACAAGCAGCCACAGGCTGGTCACTTAGCATTCATATACTAAGTCTAAACCAGCAGAGAACTACTTCAGGTGTCTCACAGCATGCACACTTTTCCAGGGCTTCATATAACCAGAGGCTTCCTGTGGCATTGTTATCAGAGTTGAGAAAACAAACAGGTTTTTTTAGCTATTAAAGGGAGTCACCTCAGTCCACTGTAATATTTTGTCAAGCAACTTGTTACAGGTGTTTTTCAGAACAAAAAGCAGAATTCACATTTGTTGGCACTTGTTATGGACAGCACAAAATCAAAGTAAATCACTGTTATAGGTAGAAGCAGGAATCAAGGATTTCATAGCAGTTACGAACTGTTTCTGCAGAGGTGCAAACAAATTAGCAGGGCTTTGTGCTTTCTATTGTGTCTGAACATATTCTCCACACTTTGCGCTAGGTTTTGCATTATTACAATTAACAAAGTGGAAAAATCAGTAGCTAGGTAATTAATCCGTAGTTATTAAGTAATAAATCAGTGGAAAAATCAAAACAAGTGGTGAGACCATCTTGTAGTTGTCAAGCACTGCCATCAAACACACGAGCACGCAAGCGGATGGAGTAGTGCTGCATACTCTGCAAGGTACAGAGGGTAACTCATTTGCTCTAGAATTAATCTTTAACTAAGTGTAGATAATTAGAGTGGCAAGGCATCTGGGGTGAAATTCTGGACATCTGCATCTAGCAGAAGAGCCACTGAAGAAAATGAGAGCGATTCTCAAACAGCCACACAGGCTAGTTTAACTCAGCCCTTACTACTGCATCAGGGAGAAAGGGACCGGGGGGCCTCCCTGGGCCCTAAACTGTGCTACCAGCAGCAGTCATGTACTGCAGTATGTAAAGACACTCATGCAGTTAACATTTGTAAGGGAAACAAAAGCAACGACCTGTAAAGTACAGAACAGAAAAGGAAAGTGGAGAAAATGAAAAATACGGGATGAAAATACAATATTCAGCATGAGAAAAACCGTGTAGGAAGTATCATTCAGTTTGTGATTTGCCCCTAGGACAGTATCTCTTCACATCAGGAATGTCTTTATCAAAGGATAAGCACAAAGGGAAGACTTACCGTATGCAAGAGACATCACTAGCAATGGTATCTTTTCTCACTTTTTAGCAGTTAGTATATAAAAATGTTTTCCTTGGTGGATTTTTATAGGTTTCTTTGGACCCACTTTGAATAGCTTTATCCATGTGCTTATGTATTCTTATTATGGACTGTCCGTCATCCCTTCTATGCGCAAATATCTCTGGTGGAAGAAATACCTCACTCAGGCACAATTGGTATGTATCTATTTTACTCTCATTTTTAACTAACAGAAGTCCTCAAAATGCCAGAGAGGGCAAAATTATCAATAGATAAACATTGTCATTTTCAGAATTAAGCCAGTTAGAATTCAAATATAACAAAGCTATCACACAGACCAAGTCACTACTACAGCTTTTATAACTTAATAAAGGGAATTATGCTCAGAAATATTTTCTGCAAAATTAGAAACTCTACAGACCATAAAATTTCATGATTTTTGATCTCTGGCATAGAAAATGGACATTACTTAATCAGGACAAATAGTGATTAAAAACTGTCTGACAGAGTCAGCTCCAGCCAGCTCCAAGACAAACCCAGCACTGTCCAAAGCTGAGCCCATCAGCAAAGCTGGGGTGCCTCTGTGATATCATATTTAATAAAGGGGAAAAAATGCTGCACAGCAGTGGAGAGAGAAGGGTGAGAAAATGTGAGAGAAACAGCCCTGCAGACACCCAGGTCAGAGCGGGAAGGAAGGAAGAGTAGAGATTTCCCTGCAGCCCATGGAGAAGACCATGATGAAGCAGGTTGTTGCCCTGCAGCCCGTAGAGGACCACAGCGGAGCAGATGCTCACCCTGCAGCCTGTGAAGGAGCCCACACTGAACTAGGTGGATATGTCCCAGAGGAAGCTGCAGCCTATGGAGGACCCCATGCAGAAACAGGTTCCTGTCAGGAGCTGCAACCTGTGGAGAAGAGCCCACACGGGAGCAGGTTTTCTGGCAGGACCTGTGGAGGACCACACTGGAGCAGTCTGTTCCTGAAAGACTGTACCCCATAGAAAGGACCCACACCATAACAGTTCAAGAACTGCAGCCCATGAAAAACCCATGTTGGAAAAGTTCATGCAGGACTGTCTCCTGTGGGAGGGACCTCACGCTGGAGCAGTGGAAGAGCATGAGGAGAAAGCAGCATCAGAAACAAAGCAATATGGACTGACTGCAACCCCAATTCCCCATCCTCCTGCACACTTGGGAGAAGGAAGAGTCGGAAGTGAAGTTGAAGCTGGGAAGAAACAGGGTCTTAGGGGAAGGTGGTTTTAGGTTTAATTTCCACTATCCTTCTCTGGTTTTAATTGGTGATAAATCAATCTTCCTGAGGTCAAGCCTGTTTTGCCTGGGATGGTAAATGGAAAGCTTAACCAATTACTCTCCTTACGCTTATCTCAACCCATGAGTTCTGTCATCTTATTTTCTCTCCCTACTCTACTGAGGAAAGGAAGTGAGAGAGCAGCTCGGTGAGTACCTGGCAGCCAACCAAGGTTAACCCACTGCACTGTGGTAGACCTATAAAATGCAAAATGATATAAACAAACTCTTACACAAAACAGAAGTTGTCTGACTTTTAGAAGTCTATTTCCAGCAGTTGCTGTACTCAGAGAACTGAGCCACATCAAAAGCTTCTATCAACAAGATATAAAGGCTTGATGTGAAATACATCATTTTTTTATGTTATGTGAAATACATCTTTTTTTTTTTTTTTTAATGTTAGGACCTGTTCATATTATTTGGGACTTCAGATGTTTGCAGGGACCTTAAAAATGCCTATGCAGAAATGTGTTTAGCAAATGCTTCTTTTGAGCTGAGACCATCTCTGCAGCTTAAACACGCTGCCCTGTTTGAAATGCCCCTCAGCACATGGGATTGAGGGCACTCTCAGCTGGCTGGAAAGAATCAGACGCCCCAGTGTGAGCTGTGGTTCACAGTCCTAAATACAAACAGCCTTCTGCAATTCCTTCTTCATCTCATTTTTTCTTCATTTATCTTTATCATAACTCCATTAATGCAAACATGAGATTACCTGAACTTCTTGGACCTGGGATTTCCATTTTTTTGTTCAGACTTCTAAAGCTATTGCCTGGAATATTTTCTCAAGTTTCTGTCCAGTAACAGACACAGTGCTGTACCTAGCATGACTCAGTCTGGAAGACAGAACAACCCCTATTTAAAAAAAAAAAAAAAACAACAACAAAAAAAAGCGCGCTTTCATTTTCCCAACTAGGCCTATAAACTCATATTTTTAGAAATCTCCAACCCCTTAGGTTTGTTTTTCTTTTTTTAATTTCATAACACCACCATTGTAACTTAACCCTCACAATACATTCCCAAGTTCAGAAAGGGATAGTTTTCAGTAGTACTCAAACTTTCAAAAAGCAGGACTAGGTGATATTGTTGCATCTGATCTAGCTTTCTCAGCAGATACTCACATGGGATATTTCCTCCACAGATCCAGTTTCTGCTCACTATTGTGCACACACTCAGTGCAGCTGTGAAGCCATGTGGATTCCCATTCGGCTGCCTCATGTTCCAGTCCTCCTACATGGCCACACTGGTCATTCTCTTCATAAACTTCTACATTAAGGTAAACAGTCTTCCTAGAGGTCTCTGACAAGGGTGAAGAAAAAAAGAACTTTTTAGATAGTGGTCTAGATGAATTCAGATATAGAATGAGCGTCAGTACTTAAAATATATATGTCAGTTATGAATGACAGGTATGGTGATGTCTGCGAGACACAGTTATTCAGTAGTGATGACCTTTGCAGCTCAGGTCTTCCACACTTGTATAACAAGTCAGGTACCACATTCAGCACATAGGAGGTCTGAATTGGCTATGTTGGGCAACTTTTTGGGTCTTTCTCCCTCCTTAGAAAAAAGAAACAAGCAGCTCTGTCTTTGCATTGTTTTTTTTCAACCTTTTTTAGCAGAGACTTCTCCAGCCTGCCTGCATACTATATAGCTTCTAGTGAAAAGGGCTTAAAAATCTCTTTTGACATCAAGAAGTATTACAGTAATACTAGTAAGGTAATATCATCCACAGCACTAAAAATAATACAGTTCCCTTAACACAGTTTGAAGCAACTATGTACATCTGCATCAACACACACCAGACAGCTCCATTTTATGGCTAACCATAAGTAGTGTTTGGAGAGCACTAAATAAATCCAAGTATTTTCTCTGGATTTTGCTTTTATAGACATACCGGAAAGCACCTTCAAGAACAACTATAGAGGAAACCCCTGTCACAACAGAAATCAAGAATGGTTTCCATAAGGACTACTTTGCTGCTGCCAATGGATTCCTGAACAACAAGAAAGCACAATAAGTACAGTATTTCCTATGATTTTTTTTTCTAAAAAAAAATAAAAATAAAAGAGACTGAATTACAAGCTTTTAGCTTAAAACCTATTTGATTACATTTATCAGTTCTTTGTACCAGACACTCATTAATGTACTGCTATATAGGTTTTAACAAAACAAGTAGAATGTCCTGTCAAAGATCACCATCAGAACAAAGAAGGCCAAGATCTTTCTCATATGAAAAAAACCAAACTTTCTGATCTCTAATGCTGACACAGAAACGCCTTATAAAACACTTGATGGATAAATCCACCAAAGCCTTCAAAAGGTTAAGACCCTGTTCAGACTAATACAGCAAGCACTTTCTGTGCATGTGAGAGGTCTTGAGGCAAGGCTTCGCAGTGCATCCAACACATTCAGCTAAACTGTAGCCAAGGTCAGGAAAAGGAAGGGTAAGGAAAAAAAAAAAAAAGAAAAAGGTGAGAATCATACCTTTTCCATCACCATATCACCACTCTACTTTTTCCTAGCTGTTTCCCAAAACACACTCCCTTCCCGTGGACACCAGCAAGGCACAGCCATCCCTCTGGTCCTGTAGGAGCCCTAGGGAAAGACTTAAGAGAGGGCAGAGCCCAGGTACACCATCTCATAGTTTGCAGACAGACATGCACCACGCTCACTTGGTTTACATGTGTGCAGCCTGAGTCAAACACCACAAAGGCTGGCAGGAGCTTGCTGTTTCAGGTGGCTGGACTAGTAGCACCTAGGACTGCCCAGTATGGTACTTAGAATACATAATATCATATGATAATATGGAGTTTTGAGTTCTAGTCAGAGCAAAACAAATAACTTTGGATGTGCTAAATTAAGATGAATTCTGAGTAAATGGATTTTGAAAGAAATAGGAGGCTCAACAACTTAACAGATAAATCCTGTAAAATGTACACGTAAACGTGCATGAAGTTAATCCTAGACAAACACTGCTAATTTGAAGCAAACTGACATGCCACATATTAATAGACTGGAAGACACAGAAAATCTTAAAAGTTAGTTCATCACTGAGCAAAAGCACACTATATAGGGATTTCTGCACTAGGTGGGCCTTATTCAGACTGATCTTGGGAGAAACAGATGAGACTGAGGCATGATTCTCTGTAGAGAAAGCAAGGAGATATTTGCTGCCTGCAGCTGTAACAGTGTCTCAATAGCCAGTCACCATCTTCTCCGCTTCAGTCGGCTGCATTTACCTCCCACTTAAATGGTTAGAAATTAAGAACACCCAAGGTTATCTTTGAGGATCTGCCCTTATACTTTTCTCACTTAGCACACCCCAAAAATCTCTATTTAAAGTAGTCACAGCCTTTTTTTTCCTCTCCCTTCTACACAGTGAAGCAGTTCTGGTCTCTTCCAATCTCACATGTATAAATTCTCTCAACAAAAACACCTTTCAGAGTCACCCCAGCCCAATAAGGCCCCATACCAAAGCAGTTCTGTAAAGGGACCATGTCCTCTGCCTTCTGCCACCCTCCAGGGTCCTAGGGCAAGGACAAACTGTTGTCCCTCAAACAGCATTTGGTACAAGGTGTGTGCAATAAGCCAATCTTACACACAGAGCCAAGATATTTATTTATTCATTCCATGTTTGTGCAAAGAGGGGTGCTAGGTGGTAATTCCACAAACCTATCGCACCACATCAGAGAACTTCAATATATTGACACACTTCAAACTACACAAATACACATTTACTGTAACAGCCGTTAGTTGGTTTCTTATCACTTTGTCCCTCATTGGTTATCAACATGCCTCATCTCTAATTAAAATTACAGTGTCTTTTAATGATTCTGTGCAAACTCAAAGATTGAGGGGAGGGCACATCTTGGTCTTAAATTGAGGCGGTGGTCACAGCCTCTTGCGGCTGCCTTTACCTTTCCCCCAGTCACTGCTGATTTTTGCTGTTTTCATGCTTCCCAGGCACTCACTCAATCTTTGGCCCCTTCTGGGGCAGGATGTTTCCCTCTTACCAATCTTTCAGCTCCTCTTCAAGGGTATAGTCATTATCAAGGCCTCCATCATATATACAAAGGCTTACACAATAGAGCCAATGTTTAGTGGCTCTCTTTAGAAGATCAGTGCTGTACATTCAATCCTAAAGTGTCACTACAATGCCTAAGTGAGACTCAAACATAGGGTTTTACTTAGCCTACAAAACCAGCACAGAGGGACTACATGAAGAGAACGCTGTCCCAAATCCTGCTCCTCCAATCCTTCTCCAGCCCCCCAGGTCAGTTATCTCCTCTAGATCTATCACCGGGGGGTCTTGGAGACTGCAGGTGCAAAGGTATGTTCCAGGGAGTGGTGCAGGTACAGGGCAGCCAGGCTCATGGGGAGCAGCCTGAGATACTGCAGCCTGTTCTACAGGAAGGAGAAGGGCTGAGGAAATGGTGCAGTACAGGGGAAGAACAGACAGGTTTGTCCAGCAAAAGCAAGAGAAGAAAATGGTATGGAGAAGGGTGTGTCAGGTCAGAGTTCAGTTTGAACTTCCACTTGAAAGTCCCATTGAATCCCATCTGTCTCCAGGCAGCTCCAGCTTCTCTGCAATGTGGACAAAACCTTTCTGCTTCAGCAGAAAACTGAAATCCCCAAATGCTGCAGCACAGGCAGTATATTTGAGCAGCTTGGTTGATAAACTGCGTCACCATGAACTAGGTAACCAAAATAACTGGTTATATAAAATACTCAAACAATTTTACATCACCACCACAGACATGCATTTAACTAGTGCATATTCATATTTGCTCCCTCTTCATGAAGATGGCCACAGGGAAAGTCAATGTTTTGCTTCATTTAACATTCAATAAAGATGGAAGGCAGCAACCAAAAAAAACCAAAACCCACAGTCAAAGCCTGGATGCTGTGTGCATATACTTGTTCTCACTGACCCTTCAAGAAGTTTTGCTTTGCAGATCTTTCTGGTTGACACTTGTAAAATTCACAAGCTGTAAGAAATTAGTGGGTTTGACCGCAGGCATTGTAAGTGGCCCTAAGGAAAGGGAGAGCTTCAGAGCTCTGCAGTCATCAGCTTGATACTGCAAACGGGGGTAAAGGCAGGCAGAACTGGAAGACCTGACAAGATAGCACACAAGGCAACTCCCTGAACCACTTGTCTAAGGCAGGCAACAAAATGGTCATGTGGCCCAGCATGGATTTTAGGCCAAGCGGATTCCGTAACCTTTTGATGGCAAAGCATGCATTTGACTATCAAGGTGAACAGCGTCAGCGTGCTAAGTGTTAAAGTTTACTATGGCAACCAAACCCAGAGACACTGTCTTTTGTTTTGTTGAAACCTCATTCAAAATGAAAATAAATAAATAAATGCCTTACTTAAAACTCAAAGGGCTGGGGAAAAAAAATAAAATTAAAAAAAAAAAAAAAAAAAAAGGAAAAAAAAAGGTGGTCTCACCTTGCAGATCCAGACCAGCCAGGGAGGCTGGAATCAGGTATGTTTAAAATTCTTCAGATCTGTCTTAACATCTTCAAAATGCTGCAACTTTAAAGAAAGAGAAGCATTGACTTTTTAAACTGATTTTCCTGTGATACATAACACTGTAAATAAACAAATTTTACTATCAGGCTGTCTCTGCTCCTTTTTAAGGCATCAAATTGCTGGGAACTGGTTATTTGAGGCTACATTTGCTTTCAAATTTTTTCAGAAAGTTCTTAGGACATTCATCCTAGACTGAAAAAACAATCTCCATTAACTTTATACACCACCTTCACTGGTGTTGATGTAAAGCTCCGCTGGTGTTTTTTGTACAGCTGACCTCCTCGTTGACTGGGCAGGTGGTATTTCGGCATATCATGCTCTCATACTCACACACACACACTAATTAGGTTGATGGGAAGCAGTTTTCTACAGCATGCAGATACAGCATGTTTACACTTCCTAAAGATACCTTTCTCTGGTAGATTGAATATCCCTGTCCCTCCTAGGCAGTCCTGCTTCTTAACAGTGGTTCTATAGGCAAAACAGCCTCCCACCTTTGCTCCTCTGGGTTTTAGTTCAGATGAAGTGAAGTAGATGATGCAAATACCTCGTACTGAGCTTGTTTTTTCCATCAGAGAAAAAACACTTTCAGTCCAAACTTCAATCCAAACAGACTTGTTAAAATTATCCTGGCTCTGGTCCCTCCCTGTTCCCAGGCCTCTTGCCTTGCAGACTTTGGCTGGTGAGATCCTTTTGATTCATATATTATAAATGGATAAAAATAGGAGTCTTGACTTTGATGGAGGAAAGTTTCCAAATATTGCATGGGAAGACCACCACTGCATCCCACTCACTAGTTCAAGTGAGTTTAAATCCCAGGTTTTATTCACCTTTAATTTAATGCACTTTGTGGTTCACTTCGAGCCACATTCATGGAAAGCAGTAGTCTCTTTACATATGACTCCTTTGCAAGGATTGCCAGTCCTTAAATAGTTGTGTGGGTTTTAACTCCTCTCATACACAGTTTTTCTTATACTATGTTTAGAGGCAATTACCACATCCTATTAGCTGAAAATGAAGCCTATCAGGCATGTTTTCACTCAGTAGCATGCTTGGACTTCTCCATGGGAAGGAAGAAAAGGAAGCACCTCATCCAGCCCAACAGACAAAACCATAATTACATGACTGCCCATATTCACTAAGGGAAATCTGTTGCATGGAAAAAAAAAAATCAAAAACTCATTCTCTAGCAATACTCCAAATGTGAGGACAGCACCAATCATCTTTTAACGTGCTTGTAGGGCATTGACTTTCCTCCGAGTGGACACAGCAAGCTTTATGTTGTTAGCAGCTCCTCTGTCTTACAGAACACCCACGCCTAGGAAATGTACTCATACCTATGGCAAGGCTGAAGACTCTAATAAATGAGTCCCTTGGTTAAGTGTCAGCATCAGCCAAGCAGAGAACATGGATTGATGAAAGGACTGGATACAGCATCCTTTAACTTTCCTTCAGCCACAAATATCCATCACGAACACAAGCCTAGCAGCACTTAGTACCCTTGTAAATCAATGCTGAAACAGCCAAACATGCACAGGACAAGGTTCAAAAATGCTTTCATTCATTTACTGTAAAATAAGACACTCATCATAAAGTATCTCTGCCACTGTAGTGAGATCCAAGATACAACTGGTCCTTCAGGTGAGGCAGGCTGATATCTAGTGGTTTTGTACAGACTGTAACATCAGAAGCTGAGGAACAGGAAAGATAGCTCCAGCCTCTTGCCTAACTAGTTAGCACTACACAGGAGTCATAATTGTTAAGAAAAAGAGCTGTTCAACAAGATACCAGAGTTTGGGGGAGCAACACTTAACTAACACTCCCACCTCTGACCAGTTTGTAGTTTCCAGACTTAGATATAGCGCCCACTGAAATGCCATACATGTGGCATCTCTTCTAACTTAACTTTCATCTGGACCAAACTAGCAAGACAATTAACACTTTTTTCCTATTGCACAGTACTGTAGCTGGGAAGTCCTAAACTCTCCACACACAGCCCTGCTACCTGTAAAAACTTGATTTTTGAACAAAACTAATGCTGTTCAAAGCTTGTACTTACCTATCAACTCATTCTTTGATTCTCAGGTTGTTTTTAGTTAGGATGGTAGAAAACTGAGAGGAGAGACAACTGAGAAATTAATCTCAAATATATAATTTCTTTCAGATTGAAAATACAAAACACAGGAGGGAGACATGCAAACACTTGACCCTGCTGTTTTGAGCTCACCAGAGGGTGTGTGTGGGAGGACAGGGAAATAAAACAGAAGAGAAAACTACTGTGATTCACTGATTTTGGATGTTAGTAGATTCCCAAGAAACAAAGAGGAAAGAATGAGCTTTATTAAGTTCCTTCCAGGAATGCTTGAATGAAAGCAGAGAAATCAGGCTGCTGATGTGTGGCAAGGCGCAGCTTTACAGAGCTTCTCTCACAGTCTGGCTGTAAGTAAAGCTTTCTCAAATTTTGCTCATGATAACACCCTGTGATACATGGCTCAGAATGGCTGTGTCGCTGTGCTTGGTTTCAATATACAATAGCGCCCAGCTGTTCCTGGAAGCATGTCTATTTTCCAGTACACCACCCTTTTAGAACAGTCCTACTGCTTGCAGAGGCAGGACTTGTCCCAGCACGCTTCAGCCCACAACAGCATACAGTACTGAGAGCAGGGCGAGCCGATCCCAGGCCAGGGCAAACACAAACACACAGTTCCTCTGGTCACTCTACCCATTTCCAGCCACAGAGGACACCCCTTTCACTGGCTTTGTGCAATCTTCACGTAGCCTTGCCACTACGTAACAGTAACCCTCTAGACCTTGGATGGACCATTGCAGTGATACAGAACACGCAGCTAAACAAGCCCTTGGCACAGGATCATCTGCTGAAAGAGATACAGCGTAAAGATAGCAGGGGTTATAATAGGGTTTAATGTTAAACTGGTTAAGAGCTTAAAATACATGAAGTAGTTCTTCACCTGAACTTTGTATTTCCCATTTCTTTTTCTGGGTACTGATGCATGGTTTTTGCACTGAAAAGAAGAAAATAAAATAAATAGCTGGATAAACACTTAAAAGAGTGTAAGTGAGCAGGCAAAGGAAGCCTGCCAAGATCAACTACCTACTTTCCAAAAGGAAACATTCAGGTAACCGAGTTACAGGTCTCTGCTGCCAGGATGTCATCTGCAGAAGCCAAATGGACTTCAGACCTTCCGGGGATTTCAGCTCAAATGTGCTGAACTGACCCAACAGTGCAGGAAGTGCTATGAGATGGGCTGTCCAAGATCAGAAGAGTTCATTCCTGCTCTAGATGCTGTCTCCAAACGCAACTGCTACTGCTACACATGAAAAGACCAAAACTTCCAGCATGTCCTCCCAGCTTGGGCAGTTCACATGTTACCAAGCTAGAACTCATTCTGCTTCTCAAAAGGTAAAGCATTTTATATGAAGGGATAGAAAAAGTGGTGCAGCAGTAGATGTTTAAGCTGTGTGGCATCCCTTCCTACTTTCCCATACCTATCACTAAAAGCACCATTTTAGTGTTTAGTCCCTTTCAATAAAACAGTTAAAAGCAAATAAAAGTGCATACAAGATTATGATAATTTTTAATAATTAACAGATCTGGATTTGTCCTTTATCCATGTCCTCTGAAGTGCCTTCCAAGCCTTGTAGTGACAGGTTACACAGGAATCCAACAGTAAGAAATACAGTGTGCATCGGTCTTATTTCTGTAAATTATCTAGCTAAGATACTTGGACGAAAAATGCTACTGATTTTTTACAGTCACAGAGACACCAAGAGAGCATTCTGCCAACACATATGAAGGGTGGGGAAATGCAGAGAAACCAGACTTGCTACATGTCTACTCCATTGTGCCAACAAATCTTAAATGCTTAGCAGCTCTTAGAGAGCAATGAAGCCATCTAGCAACATCTCAGAAATGAAAGATCAATCATTATTGTCATTATTAAAAAAAAAAAAATCCTTAAACCAGAGAGAGCCATCACATATCATTCTTCCCAGTTCAAATATTCCCTTTGGGCAGTAAGCTCCTTAGAGATGCAGGTGAGCAATCCTAAAACAGCCAAAGCAACATACATCCCAAAGGAGATGACACACACCCCCAAGAATGCAGGTTATGAACACTGTTTCTGTGGCTTGGCAGAACTCAGTATTCAAGAGCAGTCACAGTGTGGAAATCCCCTCTCAATTCTTAGGTCTGCTTCATGTCAAGCACCTTCTTAGGTCTGGTTTTATCCATCACATTTGGCCAAGTCATGAGGAATAAAACCATGGGATATATGCGTTTACCTGGGAACTACTAGAAGACTCACCTTGGTACTTAGGACTGGTAGCAACATGGCACAGAGCATCCCTTTACATTCAGTAGTGTGAACTGCAGGTTACAATAACAAGCACCAGGGTACTTCAAGCCCTTGCCACAATCCTAGATGCAGGAACTTGGCATTACTACTTAGGTAGTAAAAGCCCCAAATAGTTTTCTATTTTGGGCCTAGTACAGCCAGACAAGAGGAAGGAATGCTCAGATGAGTCAGGTTGGTTTGGTTAACAACATTGCTACTGCAACCATATGCGTTGGGTTTCTGTGTGATGGGAGTTTTTCATAGCAGGGAAGGGGCTACAGCAGCAGCACCTATGAGAAGCCAAGGCCAAGCCAATTAGCAACAGTGGCTGTACCTCTGTGATAACATATTTAAGAAAGGGAATCTGGAAGGAGGAGTTGGAGTTGTGAGAACACCTATGCAAACACTAAGGTCAGTAGAAGAAGGAGGGGTGGGAGGGAAGTGTGCAAGAGCATAGATCCCTCTCAGCCCATGGTATGAGTGCAGGCTGCCCCCCTGAAGCCCATGGAGGTCACCAGTGGAGCAGATGCAACTTGTAGCTGATGGAAGACCCCCTGCCAGATCTGGTGGCTACACCCAAAAAAGGCTGGGATTCTGAGGGAAGCTTCCACTGCTGTAGTTTGATGTTTGGAGACTGTGACATATAGGAGGG